GCACACAATTATTGAAATTCACGTAGGCCTTTGAGGTATTCAACTATTTCAGACCCTCCCAGTTTGGAAGTTCCATAAACTCTGTCCACAAATGTTATTGGAACCTACAGAAAATAGAGGAGAGAGTCAATCAGTAACTTGTTCTGATAAACAATCAGCAATAATAGGCTGACAAGGCCTCCAAATCGGCCTTACAAAGGTTGCATTATAATGAGCCAAAAGCATTAACTAGTTGAGTAGTCATTGCATTATAATAAGCCAAAAGTATTATCTAGCTCAACGTTTGCTGCATCATCATCATCTTAGTCCCAACTATTTAGGATCAAATTTATGAATCCTAATAATCCAATTGTGTAGCCCACTTGGCTAATTGGTTGGGTGCTTTCTCTTAAACCATCAAATCATGAGTTCAAGGTCTTGAACGTAAGAGGAATTTGCATGAGCTGAAAAAAGATATCCTCATTACCAAATTATCCCTATGAAGGATAAATTATCGGTGGCGTAATGGTTGAAGAAGAAAGTCATTTCACTCAAGTCAATGATTCAAGCCACACTTTACAACTTATTACTTATCATTCTAAGAAAAAAATTTAACTGCTTAGTGAAGCATGATGAACCAAACAATGTTATTTTTCTCTTTTTCTTCCTAATTATACCATACTAATTTTATGAAGTGTCTTACTATTGTATCTTCCATCATTTGTTGTATATAACCAAACTATCGTCTCTTTCTCTCTAATCATTGCAACAATCAAAGAACTAAAAATATAAAGCAAAACACATACTTCTTCAATATGATAGCCTTTCCTGCTGGCTCGGACAATAATCTCCATCTGAAATACATATCCTTTACTTACGACGGAGCCCAAGACATCTTCAAGAACAGATTTCTTATAAAGCCTGCACAAGATAATCAAGTCATGCATCAGGAGCTTAAAGCTCAAAGAGAAACTTGGCCCCTCTAACTAAAAGGACATACCTAAATGATCCAGTAAGATCTGACACACCAGGCCATAAAAATGTCTGCGCCAATACATTAGCTCCTCTGCTAGTCAATTTGCGCATAAGATTCCAGCCATGAACACCGCCCCCTCTAACATAACGGGTTCCAGTAACTATACTGGCGCCAGTTTCTGTTTGCTTCCTGCTCATCAAGGGATGGTAAAACATAGAGATATTGGCACCAAGCTATATTTCAACAGTACATTAGGCAACCACACCCATTTTTCTTTTTAATATTATCCTTGATGTGGCAATGGTGACTTCTGAGTTACAGAGAGGAAACATCGGATACACAAAATCTATCACATGAATTGCACATTTAAGGTAGGGGCATTTACATATTTGCCGCACAATTCTCGTGTATTAACATATCTAATACCTAAATTTAGTTTTTTTACATTTACACCACCCAAAATTTTCATAGCACATCAAAAACAACACTATTTTAACTTCAAAAGTGAAATGCACTTTTTCATGCATTGGTAAGGTGGCATTTGTGTAAAAACTAAATTTTAGATGATAGATATGTAAATGTATAAGAATCAGGTGGTATCTACGTAAATCTTCCATTAAGGTATTTCAAGAAAAATTCAAGATTTATTTGCTTTCTCATTTTTGTATGTTAGCACAAACCTAGCAGATGAAAGCCATTTATTTGGCAAATTTAACATTAGTATATTCATTTGCCACTCTTGCCCAAAAGAAAAACGATGGTACAAAATTTTACTGTAGTATCAATCAGAAGCAAGATGACAAATATTGAGAATTCGATTTTAGCTATGTTACCGTCAAACTTTGGCCAATTAAGAATATCAACCAAACAAAAAGGGGGGGATGCAACTAAATCAATAACATTGGGTCTCATCAGTCCAGTATCAGTCAGCATACTATTATTATTTACTCTGACAACAAAAAATGCCTGAAAAATACAAATATCAACAAGATGAAGTACACTCTATTCATATCAAGCAATGCATTCATGATAAAAACTATTACAAATATAGAATGCAATACAAAAGTGTGAATACTGGAGAACGCACAAATACAATATTATATATATTATTTAAATCACGAGAGCATGTTGACCTCATTTTTGGTGAGGTCTCTTCTTCTTCTTAGAGCCTACGATCTAGCCTTAGGGTTTCCTACCGACTTCCTTAGATGACTAGACTGGGACCCGCACCAACGAGAGATCCAAGTCACTTCTCGACTCCTCGCAGTTTCATGTGACCGGTTCGAAATCCTCAACGCTTAGTTGAGTCGATTAAAACCAGCACGACGAAGCTCGAGTCGAGTGCCTGCAAAAGCTAAAACCTTAGGAAATCCATCGTGTCGTCCGCGCACACTCACGATTCACAAGTTGATGCACACAATTATTGAAATTCACGTCTCTTGCACTTGTAGGAGGCTTCACGATCGATCACGAGCGATAATTTTAAAGGAATTTGAATTTGACGTGTTTTCTACCTGACCGTCGATGAAGTAGTCTGGGCGACCCTGGATAACAAAATGAACTGCGTCGGCACGTCCGGAACGTCGACTTTAGTTAGGAAGGACTCCCAGTTCGATATGGTTTTGTGCACAAGTGAGGAGTGCACAAATCAAGGAAATTTAAATATTATTTACATCTTAGGGGGAGTGTATTTCGCATTATATAGCCAATGGGGGGAGGGGGGTCTCTTTATTACGACTTAAATCCCTCATTTGGGGCGGCCCTTGGTCCATCCCCGATTAAGCTCCTCTCCTGGAGCTCACGGCTCCCCTTAGTTCAGTCTCCGGATTTAGCCCTAGCCGCGCCTTCCCTCTTGTTGGTCCCCTCTCTTCGCGTAACGAGCAGTTGACCTCGCCTCTCTCGACATCCTCTGCCCGAGCTGCGGCTTCCCGAAGTTTCTTTCGCTTCGTCTAGCTGAGCGGGAATCCATTCATAGTAGGTTGACTTGGTGCTCTTGTTCACTGAGACACGAATGTGGCAATCCTCCTCCTTCCTGATAGATCATTCCTCTATAGCCTTGTTGCGGTGTTTTTTCTTTCTGCTGGGACGAGCGATGGGTTGGCCTCCCCTTAGGGTAGTTTCATTTCTTTTCTTTCCTCTCTTATGCGTGTATAAAAGGATGGTGGGGGGGTTTTGCTATGAGGTTACGAATTTTGGGAGCTTGGGAGAGACTTTGCTAGAATTATTTCTTGGCTAGGTGCTCGTGAGCTTGAAGTTTGGGAGTGTTGTGGCTTTGCTTGTGAGCTTGAGGTTTAGGAGTGTCATGGCTTTTTCTTTTGTTGATTACAGAAGCCCGAGCAAGGTATGTTTCCTCTCTCCTGCTCTTCTTCCCTGCTCGACACATGCTGGAGACGTTAAAATAGGGGAACACATGTATAAGGCTTTGTTTTGTCTTAACTAGTATTTCATAATGGCGTTGCTACCGATTACTAAGCCTTTAATATTTCTGTTGGGTCTGCTTTAAATGCTCTATGTTGTTAGTTGAGATAGTAGTTTATATAAAGCATGTTTTAATCCCTATATACATGCAAGCCATCTCCTTATGCTTTTATCATCTCTGTACCGGTATACTGAAGGTTGTGGCCTTCTCTCTTTTCTCCCTGCTGAGTCGATTTACTGTTGAAAGGAAGATTGGCAGTGGGGAGGGTTGCTTGTGTTTCTCTGTTTACTGTTATTTCCCCCTGTTTGAAATGCATGTTGAGAGGAAATTTTACTGCTGGGGCTAATTTTTGTTTCCCTACTTCCTGTTACTCTCCTATTCAAACTACATGTTGGATGACATTAGCATGTTTAATTTTCTTATTAAAAGCTTTCAAAAAAAAAAAGAAAGAAAAAGAGGTACCTTTGGTTGTCTTTCTTGTTCGAAATACACGTTGGATGGAGAATTAGTTTTTTAAAGCTTTTGGGGCTTGTTTTGATGGCTTGATTTTATTTCCTAGCTCTCCCCTTTCCTTCGAAGCATGTGTTGCATGAAAATTTTAGTTTTTAAAGCCCTTGGAACTCGTTTTGGTGGCTCGGTTTTGCTCCTTATGTTGCTGCTCCTGTTCGAATACAAGCTGGAATCTGTTTTGTGTTATGAGCAGTTGGTTTTGGGTCTTGGTTTTATTCTCTATTGCTGTCCCTCTATTCAAACCATATGCTGGATGAAAGGTCGTCTTTCTGGATCTTTTGAAAAGGTTTGTTTTAGGGGATTCTGCTTTGTTCTTTGTTGCTCCCCCTTGTTCGAGACACCTGCACTTGGTGATGTTTGTTATCAAGCTCTTAGAAGCCTTGTTTTGGGGCCCTGTGTTGCTCTTCCTGGTCGTGAGTCTTCCTGTTTGTGGTTGTCATTGTATTGGGGCTGGTGGCCTTCCCTTTACTGCTCCTAACCGAGAGTGCACCTGCTTGCGGGTTGCCTCTTTGCGTTGGGGTTGGTACGGTTTGCCTCTTTGCGTTGGGGTTGGTGGCTTCCTCTCATTTCTCCTGGTAAGCCCTTGCCGATGGATTTTTGTGTTGGGGACTTTGGCTTTCCTGCTGTTTTTGTCTGTGAGTATGTTGGATGTTGGCTTGGGTGTTAGTTGGTGGCTCCCTTCGGTTTGTCGTCCCTATCTGTGAATTTGTTGGGTGTGCTGTCTGGGCCTGATTTGCCCTCTTTGTTGTCCCTACCTGTGAGCTTGTTTGGTGTTTGTTTGGGGCTCAGCTGGCCCTCTGTGTTGTCCCTGCCCGTGAGCATGTTGGGCGTTGGCTTGGGTTTGGTCTGCTCCCTGGCTGCCCTTGCCCGCAAGCTCGTTGATGGTGGCTACCTTCGCCCCTTAGCTGTGGTCACCTAATTTGATTATTTATTTATTGTTGCCCCTACCAGAGAGCATCTAGATGGTTCCTTTTTGTGTCGGCTGGGTGGCTTCTTTGTTAGCCCTACCCGAGAGCACCTATATGAGGGTTGGGTTGGTTCCCCGAGCATTGATTTGTTTGGTTCCCCTATTGTTCCTAGCCGTGGGCGCCTGTTCGGATTCCTTTGTGTTGCGTTGGACTCACACCTCATGGAAGCTTTAATTTGGAGTGGAATTGAATGTTTTAATCTTTCGTGAATTGGAATGCTTTAATCCTGCTTTAATCCTTATGTCTGAATTGGAATGCTTTAATCCTTATGTTTGGAAGAATTCAAATGCCCCTTTTCGAGGAATGATTTTGGAGATGTTTCAGGATGTTTCAGGGCCCAATTCTGCGGGCTGAATTGATTGCAATAAAAAAAAGAGAGAAAAGAAAATCTTTTGATATTTGAGAAAGGTTTAGGAATAGCTTGGGAGTCTCTAAATTGTGTATTTTGGGGTTGTTCTTGGCTAACATCGGGGAGTGTGCCTATCTCATTGCTCATTCAAGGAGTCTCACCGGTTGGATGTTTTAGGCTAGCCCTCCTACCACTTTCGCCTTTCTTTCTAAATTAACTTTGTAAGCGGGATAGTCTTCTTTTGCATTTCTTGCTTTTCGGTTCATTTTCCTTGCTTCTTGGTTTGAGAATTAGGCGTTTACGTCTGAAACATAAGTGTGTACGTATAGTTGAGGCTATATGTGAAACCATCAAGCAAAATCGTATATTGGACGGTTTCTTTGGGGTATTTGGGCTTGATGATAAAGGCATTCGGTGGTAGAGTGGAATAATATTTCATCATACGACATCGGGACCCAATCCAGGGACCTGGTGAAATGTAAGATGACAATATTATTCACCGACACCAAGCTAGCAGGGCACCCTTGCCTTCTTAGGTTGTCGGAGGTCCCGGCATGATGGTTCGATTGACTTATGGACAATCATATTTTTATAAAAAAAAATAATAAGAACAGATACACTATTTTCTAAAGTATTTTAACTACCAAAATTGACAATACTTTCCTTGTATGCATGAAGTCTATATGTAAGCTAAAATATAAATTTTAAATAATATAATTTGATTGTCCACTTGTGAATCGCCGGTATTGGGCTAAGGAGTACCCTCTTAAGTTGGTATAGTAGGACACATTTCTAGTTGAATGTCCGGCTCTATACATACGATTGACCAATAGTTGCCTTCGGAGTCCCTTGAGAATACCTAAATCTCAGTCCAACCCAACCCGAATGCTTACGACTTTCTTTTTTTCTTCGGATTTTTGTGTGCTTTCCTACGGTTATATCA